GATTGGACCCCCAATCCTCTATCAGGCCTGACGCGCATAGCTGAGACCAAACCTCCGAGTGGTAAATCTCGAAAGCGGCACCCCACATGCAGGACCCGAACCCTTAGCATCCTCGTGTTTCTAGCATTTTCCTTGACTGAGTGGCCTCCAACACCAGCCTACAGGCTATGACCTGGTCCAGGCAAAGATCACCACCCGGGGCATTGTAGGATTCAACACATGCATATAGTTGTCCATCCAGGTGGTCTAGGATGCTAGACCCTGAACCCACCCGAACCCCGGGCCCCAAATCCTGGACCAGATGTCCTGATAGAGGAGATCATTGAGAGTACCTAGGATATCTCCTTATCATGCTGCAGTTTTGCGGGTTAGGTATTGCTTGTCGTTTGTGGGGGGGCTCATGACATTGGTGTTGATGAGACTTACGCCGATAACCCTCCACTCTAAACCCTACACCCTACACCTTTCAACGTGGAAGGCTAGGGCTATGAAGTTGCGGTTGAACCTTCCACAAAGAGCTTGCTGTTTCATATAAGTCTAGGGCTAGGGGTTTAGGCTGTGGACGGCTGTCTGGGTATTTGGGTTGTTGGTTTTGGATTGAGCGCTGATGGGGCCCTGAAGCCGTGGAGCCTGGTCTGAACATCAAAAATGCCCAGCATGCAAGGGCAAGTGCAAGACAAAATTGGTTTCAGGTCGCAGATTTCTATAATCTCTATGGTTTCGAGGCATATTTGGGTACTTGGGTTTTGGGACCATGGTTGCTGGAGCGCAAGCACTCCATCTTGCGTTGGCTCAAGGCAATTGAGCCAAATCTTGCTTCAAGGTAGCCAGAGCACGTTTGCACTGAAGCCCCTAAATCCTTAAGCCCTTAACCCCAAAGCCGTTCAATCCCGAAGCCCTAAACCCTATATGTAGGCCCGAATTCCTCAACCCCGACATCTAGACCCTGAAGAATGCTTAAGGGAGCAGGCCAAAAACCTTTAAGCGGCCCACAGCCACAGGACCCAATTCCTTCTAATTAAAACCTAAACCCTGAACATGGCTGTATAGAGGTTATATTATACACCCTGACCACTAAACCCTCGAACCTCGAACCGCTGCGGTATACAGCGCGCAAGTCGTACAGTGATGGTCTTAGAAGCTTTTGTAACATAGCAAGATCAACCAGGACCCTAATCCTTTGACACTAAACCCTGAACACAAAAATGATCCCACCCCAAACACAGAATTGCAGTATCCACCTAACCAACAGCCCAGTGCTGGGCCGCATTGAAGATAGATGCTCAAGATTCAGAAGGATGCTGCTGAGCCGCACCAACGCCTAATATAGGGGCCTACAAGATGACCGATATTATGGTTCCATAATCCTTATAATTGTGGTCTATGCTACCTCACATGGACCTCAACATGATATCGGTAATTATTTAGGCCCCTGTAGTACACCCTAAACTCTGCGCTAAACCCTAAACATCCTTGGGTGTGTACGGTTGAGGGTTGGGTGCTGTTGATCTAAGAGCTTCTCAAAAGAGATTTTCCGTCCAGAATCCCCGAAGGGGACCCTTTTAAGCCTTTCATATTCCGTGTATATCCACAGGGTTGTTAGGGGCTTCCGATGTTGAGGAATCTTCATTTCTGCGTATAGATCTGAGGATATAGAGTTTCGTGGCTTAGGGTTTGGATTTGTTTTTTGGACTCAGGGTTTGGGGCTTGGTTGCACATCTGACGTTCGGGGCTAAAGTTTCTGTTCAAGTCCGTCACAGGGGCACACCATGCCCCCCTACACAGCACAGCCCTAAGGATCCAAGAACCCCCCCCCAAAAATAGGGTTTTAGGGCCCAAAAACCAGTAATATCATCGTCTATAGTGTTATCCCCTAAGGGTCCAAAGACACAAACAATAGGGTAATGCATACATATATATATATAGATATAAACATATCTGTATCTATATCTGTATCTATATCTATATCTATATCTATATTTATCTATATATATATATATGTGCATCCCTCGAAAGTTGTTGTGTGGAGGGTTGAGAGGCTTCACACCGTCTTACTCTGTGTCGTGATGTGTAAGGCCGCATTGCCCTTCCCACGCATGTGCATGAGTCTTGGGGTTCAGGGCCTACCTCGACCCACCAATGTCATTCCTTAAGTGGACCCCCCCACCCAGTAATAGTGACTATAAGGGAATTTTAAGGTTTATATTAGGGTCCTCTTATATTCCTACTATACCACTATTACAGGGTGGGGGGGTCCTCCTAAGTCATTCCTTCTTGGGGTTTAGGGCTTTTTGGGTTGAACTCCTGAGCCCAACATGCAGAACCTATGCCCCCACAAAGTCTCACAATGTGTCACACGCTTACTCACTGTCGAAAGGGTGCCTCTGTGTAGCCGGGACAAAAGGTGTATATTAAAGAAGATGGAAATCGCTACATTTTTTGGAAGTTTATAGAGGGGCTACTATGAGGATCCATTCCTTCATTCCATGCTAATGGTAAGAAAGGCTCCCGAAGGCCTGAGTCAAGAAAAATGGAAGCCCAGAAATCTTCAAGCTGACATCGGGGCCAGGAGTAGCCTCCCTAAGCCCTGCCAGTAGTACCCTTTTTCCCTTTTTGTTTAGGGTCTTCTTATATTGAAGCTGAACAATAGGAAAAAGGGTACCCTTATTATTAAAGGGTCACTGGCACTGGTGAACCTAGTCTCTATAGGGCTCCTTTTGAAAGCCTGTTGCTGATTTAGGGCTTGGGGTTTAGGGTTTAACTATAGTTCTGTAATAGACTTTGCATTCAAACCCTGAGCACTAAGCCCTAAACGTCCTCAAACCCTACCCCAGGGCTCCAAACAGCCTAAAGCAGGCAGCACGCACAGACTCCTGAGCCCAAAACCGTCATGATTTATTGACGGTTGGGCCCGAAGTAGAAACTATTCTATGTTTTCGCACCAGGTAGGTGTTTTTAACTAGCGTTGGGGCTCATAGGTCTTACTTCTAGACTTCGAGCCCTAAACCCTAAACACTAAACCTCAAACAACCCCAGGAGTATCTTCCCGAAAGCAAGAGCATCGAAGACCTCGAGTCGGAGCTCTTTCTGGACACTCGCGGCCCGCGCAAATGCTGGGCTTGTGGGCGCAGCCTAGGTGCGGGCTGTCCTGTAGAATTGGGTATAAGGGTTTAGGGTTTGGGGGTTCAGGGTTTAGGGTTCAGGGTTTAGGGTTTAGGGCTCAGGATTTAGGGTTTAAGGCTAAAACGATTAAGGATTCAGGGTTTGGGGAACCATGCAGAAGCTAAATTCATTTCCAGTATTATGGTCCTAGATTCATTGCATAAATGTGCCTTCGGGTACCGGACATCAAGATGGTTTTGGGTTAGTTAGGTCCCCGTACTTGTGTAGAAGCAAAAATTACCTATATTGAGTTTCATAACCCTCAGCCCTAAACCCTAAGCCCTAAGCCACTACCTAGTAAGCACAGTGCTGGGCTGGGTCTGAGGTAAGGCTTTAGGATTTAGGGGTTAAGGTTCAGAGCTTAAGGTTTAGGGAAGGGTTTAGGGTTTAGGGTAACGGATTCAGATATTGTCGCAACAAGGCTGTATAAGGCGTTTTTGTGCAACCAGCCTGATGGACATGCAATTAGAGGTAGGGATTTTCCGTGTTTGGTGCTTTCTCCTTGTCTTCAATGTCTTTTTAAGATCTTTGTTTTATACAGGATGTTGAATGACAGTACAATGAAAGCTAGATCAAGAACCCCTTATACTGGTCGTTTAATCACGTAAACTCACACGCTTCGGAAAATGGTCGGTTGTATGTTAGAAATGAAAGAGGTCCCTATAGGATTACTCACAATAACCTTCCTAATCATACATGCCCCGGGCATTTTTCATTGGGGGGATGTCATTTATAATGAAGGGGAAGCGGTCAAGAAGGATCCCAATCTTTGGGCTTCCAAAGCCCCTGCTTCAGGAATATACCCCGAATCACAGTCAGAATCCCAGTCTACTCTAGAGTATGACCCTTTTTTCATGGGGTTCTGGAACTCCTGGTTGAATATGTTGTGGATACATCGGGTGATCCTAACTTTGCTTTCAGGGTTCCCTAAACCCTAAACCCTAAACCGCCAAGTATCTGCTTTGCCCAGCTGTGAGGTGACGACGTCTCCGACCAGGATGGAAGGCGACTTGAACAGTTTTAGGGGTTTTAGGGTTTAGGGTAGTGTCCGTCTCCATAGAATCCCCGCTAATGGTCTCTATACACACATCCTAAAACCGGTAGTCCTAAATAAGAAGCCCTTAAGCTCCAAGTCTGCCAGAAGCCGTAAATCCGAGACCCCGAATCCCAAAGCCAAAGCCGTAAAGAGTGGCATAAACGCAGTATTTTCCATTTCCCACAACCCTAAAACCTAAACCCACAACCCTAAAACCTAAACCCTGCCCCTGTAGCCACCAGGAAGTACTATCAACTCCTTGCCTGTTTAGATTTCTGGCTGTGTGCTGTTAGAAAAGGGAGCCCATGAACATTCCTACAGTAATATAATATATGGTAGTTTCCCGAAATAAGGGAACCCCAATACAGACCCAAAAATATTATAATCCTTGTTATAGGGACCCCTAAAAAGGTACCCCCCAATTTTGGGAAACCACCATATAGGGCTCATCAGAGATTATGGGGAGGTCCCCCTTCAAGGATTATATGAGCTATAGTCTAAACTCCTTAAAGGGGGATATATAAGGGGATTATATAGGGGACTACTATAGGGCTTATTAAGGGGGATACTAGGAGTTTAGACTGTAGCTCATATAGGGATTTAGGGTTTAGGGTTTAAGGTAATATCTACTAGGTGGGTGGCGTGGCTATCAATGTGCCTGCAGTTAAGGTGTAAATTCTGCGGCGCTTGCAATGATCGCGAAAGACGCGTTACAAAGCCAGCTCCGTTGCTCGTGCGCATAGCCTCTGTCATAACCTACATCATATCAGTTCCACATATTCGCAGAATTTGGAGCGGTTTTATGGTCCTTTTCGTGTCGGCGATCATCAATGGCATCACTTGCCTCGGCGTGATCTACATCTACCCGGATTTCCTGCGTGATGCCTCTGAGCCAGCTCCTTACATGGGGGGCATGTTTCGGGGTCGGTATAGGGGAACAAGAATTTGAAACTAAATTGAAGAACTGCCCATATTATCAGGTTTGAAGTGCATTCCTCTCACATGCGCCTTTAGCCTTTTTTCCAGGATTTCAGATTTCAGCCCTTCAGGGTATGTATTGGGCATGCGGTATACAAGGACCGCAGGGTGCAGGGCGCGTACTCGGGCCATGAATCAATCTTAGACACATTGTACTTGTCATACCAACCCTGGCACTTGGGAGGATCTAGAAAGTAGAGCCCCCAGAGTTTGGGGTTTAGTAGTACTTTATACTGTATACCACTACTGGACCATCTCTGGGAACCTTTAAGCAGGATGTACTTTCGGGATCCTTCCAAGTGTCTGAAGTAGGGGGAATCGAGGTATCAGAGCCGTTTAAGACACAAGGCCCAGAAACTGATGTAGGTTCAGGAATGACATGAGCTATAGTGTTTTTTTCAAGGGGATACTATGTTTGTAGACTTTGGCTTATATGCCCCTGGGCATGTAGAAGGACATCCATCCACTCGATACCTTCATGGGGTTTCTCAGTTGACCCTTGGTCTTTAAGAGTTCTCAGACGACGAGCCATTACTCTCAAAATCAGGACGTTGTTATCACGTATGATCGCCTTACTGCTTGTTAGTAGGGACTGTGGGAATATATTTCCCTAATTATATACTCCATATATATTTCCTGCTAACAACTAGTGAGTTGTCGTGGCGTCTCCGCGAAAGGATTTATAATATGGTAGTTTCCATTGTTTTTCCCATTATCCCTATATAACCCCCAAACATACCCTGTTATCCCTATATAACCCCTATATAGCCCCTTTCTAACCCCAATAAACCCGATTACAGGACCAGAAATATCCTTCATGGCCCTTGTAAGACCTCGAACATCTGGCTGTCATCTACCGGTAACCCGAATTCCCTACAGTTGTTCATGCCCAGAAGGTTCAAGTAGCCAATAATTAGGTACTTGGGTTTTGGGTTATAGTGGTTCTGGTACAGGTTTTGGGCAAGTATGTATTTATTAGGTACTTGGACCCTTGGGAATGGCTTTTACCTGTGAAGAAAGGGGTAGTTGCTACGCAGCTGTAGGTGGTTGGGGGTTACAGGTGAGATTTAACTTTCTAACGTCCACCGTGCAGCCCTAGCATGAGAAGGGTAGTGCTCGGGTTTGGGGCCCTTGAACCAACAAATGTAAAACTGGCACCCGCTGTTTTCAGACCCTGGGCAACCCCAACACAGGAGCGGACAGGAGAGTAGTTCATTCTGAAAGCCGAAATCTCAAGCTCCGAAGGCTACAGGCCCTAAACCTTAACCCTTACCGAGCCTTACGTGGTTTCCATAAATGGGGGGACCCCAAGAAGCCACTCAAAAGGTACTCTTCATGATGGGGGCTCCCCAGCATCCTCCCCAAGATTGGAAGCCCTAGGCCGTGCCTGGACCCCAGAAGTATGTAAGACCTTGGCCTTTTGGGCTGCTTTTTGGTGATTTGAGCTATTAGTTTACCTACTTTTGGGGTCCAGGTAGACCCTACATGTACCTACGTACGGTTGACGCTAAACATCCCCGTACCCCCCAAGGTATAAGGTACTTGTACCTGGGGTCATGCAGGGTTATCATCAGCCTAACCCCCATATAGCTTTGGATTGCTCCACCCTGTAATAGTGATCATAAGGGATCGTGGTAACTATCTTGGGGTCCTCCTATATTCCTATTATACCACTATTACAGGGGGAGGCAGTCCACCTAATGTATATTTGCTGTAGCCCGTTTGGGGCCCCAAATATTCCCAAGAGTCCCTTGAAAGGGGCCCAGCCCTGCTCTCACTTTCAGGCTCTCTTTTTGCGGTCACTGGCTTTGCTGCATCTGGCTGTGGGCGAACACGCTCTTGAATTATGGTCAGGTTCAAGCAGTCAGGAAACATTCAGCTTAGGGTTCAGGGTTTGGGGATCACAGCTTCTACGCTCTGAGCCTCACAACTAATATGGCTGAGATTCTACCCTAAACCCTAAACTCTAAACCCCCAAGCCCTAAACCCGAGCTTAGAGTGTAGGATTTCAGGTTTAGGTTTAGGCTTTGAGGTCTATGGCGTAGGGCTCCAGGTCTGAGGTTTCCGGCTTAAGATTTTTCAACTCGCTGCAAGATGGTAAGTAGCCAACCCCATAAGAGCCATAGTCTAAACTCCTTAAAGGGGGTTATATAGGGGAGTATATAGGGGACTACTATAGGTGTTATTAAGGGGGATACTAGGAGTTTAGACTATAGCTGACTATCGCTCATAAGTGTTTAGGGTTTATGGTTAAGGGTTTAATGGATTCCCCAGGCCTGGCGGCTGGTGGTGGGGCTTTAAGACTTTGGATTTAGCATTTAGGGTTCTAGGTACCTTCATGCTTTTTAATATCATTGACATATTCTGGACCTAAACCCTATGAACCCTAAACTCTAAGCCCGAAGCCCAAGAAGCCAAAAACATGCACGACCTGCAGGCGTTTGATTTAGACCGCAGCGGCTAATGTATTCAGCACCCTGAACCCTAAACCCTAATAAGCTTGATCCCCCCACTGGCTTCATACTCCCTCTATCGCTGCGGGGCTTGTATCACCTGATTTGGTATCTGTCTGAGTTTTGTCCTTCAAGGTTTTCATGCGTCAGCAACCGAGAGCAACCTTGGGAGCTCCAGATGGGGTGCATGAGGGTCTACCGGGTACACCATTTTAGACTTATTCAGCCGCAAGCTCGGGGGAAACAAGAGGTAGTTGAAGAGTGCAGGAGCAGAAGCATCGGAGCAGGAGGAGGAGGAGGAGGAGGGCAAGGAGGACACGCAAAAGTATTCTCATCCAAGTTTGCAAGAGTAGCCAGTGTGCCTGCAAAATCCTAAGCCCTAAATCCGTGTGGATCCCTGCATAAGTTCCTGAATAGCAGACTGCGTGGCTACTAACACTTACATCCTTAAGTCCTAGACCTGACGTACAGTATGTCACCTATAGACACAGTGAAAAAAAAGAGAGCCATTTTGAAACCAACAGACGCAAGTACAACCTTACTATACGTCCCAACCAAAGACGCATGTCAATGGATATTGTGCCAGGGTCCACTTCCATACCATCACAAACACATATTGACTCCAAATTGTCGTCATGCGGAGATGGCACTTCATTGACATGGCCCTGAAGCCTTAAACCCTACTCGGAACCTCGCATGTACTTCCTTTTCTGGCTACATTACAACCACCCCTAACCCTAAACCCTGGATCGCCACTTGCCAAAAAACAAAACAAAGCCCCAAGGGAGCTACATAGGAGCCCCTTGGTAAGCAGGCGGTATGTCGGGATCCTGGATTCGTTCCCCCGCAACGCCTCGGCAACGTGGGACCTGGAGCCCTGGAAGGCTATCGGATACTCGGCTGAAGGTATTGGGGCTGAGGAACCCAGCGATGCGGTGGATCACATCCTCACATCATCTTGCGCTTAGGCTTTAGGTTTAATAGTGGGAGAGGGTTTAGGGGTCTAGAGTTTCAGGGTTTGGGGATCTTTGTGGGCGTATCCAAAAAGAGAGGTTCACTTTACGGAGTCCTCGGAATGAGGAGTATATAGGGTTTAATGTTGGGGCCCCCCCATATCTATGGAAACTCGCATGTCTTGTCTTGGCGTTCTCCGTGGATGATCTCAAGTCTCCAGAAGTGTGTTGTGTTTGCTCTGAAAAACTAGGCAATCCATGCAAGCCACTGGCGAGTGCAGGCCAAAACCCTCTCAAACCCCAAGCCCTATGCATCCCCGATGCTCAGCTACTGATTCTCCACACTGCAGAGCTCGGAATTTCTTCTGACGAGAAGATCTTATTGCACACCTTCTAGGTAACTCAGTAGTACCCTTTTTCCCTTTTATCCTGTGGTCTCTTTATCAAAAACAAACACTAGGAAAAAGAGTGCTTTCATAATTGACGGGTTACTGGGGAACCTGGCCTTTCTGCAGAAGCATTGTTTGGGCACACTGAAGATTGAACTTGGTTGGTTTTCTTCGCAATGCCGAAGATGCAGACCAGGTATTTGGCCCTAAGGGTCCAAGGACCCAAATGATAGGGTTTTAGGGCCCAAATACTATAATATGAATGGTATTTGGGACCTAAAACCCTATTTATTTGGGTCCTTGGACCCTTAGGGTGGTAAGGGCACGAATTGCGGCAATGCTCCAGCACCAGAAGGCCCTGTATTCTAAGCTCTTAGTCCTTAATCATGCTAGATCCTGCCACTGTCCTATTTAATGGCACAAGTACACTACAGACTGTTGGGCTGTTCGCGGCCCTGGAACCCTAAACTCAAAATCCTAAACTCCTAAACCCTAAACTCCGAAATCCTAAGCCCTCTAAACCCAAAACTCCTAAAACCTACACCCCTAAACCCTAAACCCCAAATCTACATTATCCCTATATAACCTCAATTTACCTATAGTAAGGATCCTAAGCAACTAAGGTTTTGCGCGCCTTGTAGTGATGGCAAGCCCCCCGGCAGCCACCACTGCACAATCTGCCGAAGGCCCGTCCTCAACTTCTTTTAGGGTTTCTTAGGGTTTACCCGGAACCTCCAATGTAGTTCCTTTTTGGGTTTGGTATGGTTTTTTGGTTAGGACTCTTATTAAGGCTACTAAAATGGTACTACATTGGAGGGTCTAGGTAGGGGTTTTCTTAACGGAGAGGCTGGATAGCGGTCAATTAGGCATAGGGTTCAGGGTTTAGGGATTAGGGATTCGGGTTGCAGTGCAACATCTAATGAAGATTGTATATCTGCTTAGGGCTTGAAGAAGGCAAACCGCAGTTAAGGGGGCCGTGTCCCCAGTCTAAATTCCGTGAGGATTACATGAGGGACTATATAAGGGTTATTCAGGGGGATACTCAGAGTTTAGACTGGCTCGTGTATAACCTACCCTGTGAAGTCCCTTGAGCCTTGAAAAAGGCACGGCTTAGAATCAAACGGAAACTGTGCAAGCCTGATGGAATACCAATGCTATTCCTCCACAGCCCGTATATGTTTCTGACACCCCTAAACCTAATTGCTTGAGCCGCGGCATCAGGGTTCCAGGCTTTACTGTTGAGATGTTTCTAAGGTATTCTAAGGTCCCAACACTCAAAAGCACGTTAAATGCCCTGACTTAACCATATTTCAAGTCTTGCGGTTCGAATCCTGCGTGTGAGGAACCTTGGCAAACCCAAAATGTTAATAGGGAGGGTTTCGTTGCTGCTAGTAGTTAGGGATTGGTCACATCGGGTTGATGCTGGTAATTAGGGATAGATGTTATACTATACTATAATTTAACATATATATAATGTATCTATATATTCTAGCATAATTTAGTACCTTGAATATACTATAATATAGTATAGCATAGTAACAGCCCAAAACCCTTTTGAGGCCAACTTTCTTAGGCACGATCCTTGGGCACTAGGGCTTTCATTCCCTTGGACAACTCTGCATACAGTTTCGGGTCTTATACCGTTTGGCCACTAACCTTACCCTGCAGATGTACTGGAGCCACAGGTAAGGCTCAAGGTGTAGCATGTAGTTAAGATTGCTCATCGCTTCTGTCGAACTGTCGTGGCTTTCATCTGAGAGACCCGAACCTGAATTGCAGACACGAACCCTAAACCTGAGACCCCAAACCCTAAACCCCTAAACCTGATAAAGGAATTTCCAGCCCTGATAAGATGAACCGCCACATAAGCTTGATTATGGAGCCGGTTTTCTTGTCGGCGTTTTGTGGTCCGACTGTTGGAGGCAAATCTTGTCTTGTACGGCGCAACAAGGTACTTAAACACACTACAACCCTAAACCCCAATGAACAGGGTCTGGAACACTCGAAGCCTCCATACATGCACCCTAAACCAGACCCTAAACCCTAAACCTTAACCCGGTGTCTCTGAGGGCCCTCCCTTCCTGAGAAGCAGCCACGTCATACCTTGTTCTTGAGTAGCTGCTCCTTGTTGTTGCCCGCAACAACCATACATGAATGTAGACCCATTACTAATAAACCCCCTCCATCCCAATATTCAGTCCCTTAAAGGAGCGGGTTTATCAATCATGAGTTTACATTAATGGTTTTTGTGCGAGTAACTATTAGTGTCTGCCATGTTCGGGACATTGCTTCCAAGCAAACTCCTATCCGCTTGTTCCACGAGTAGTTCTCGCCCTGTTCTAGCAATCCTTGTAATGGCTGTCATGGGGCACTATTTCTGTTTGGATACACAAGTGGGAACTCACGGTTACAATCTGCCTTCATTCATGTGTGCTTGGCAAGGTGTGTTTTCGATATGGACCATCACTGCCCTTTCATTGGGAACTGTGTGGGACGAGGGAATCGGCGGAGCTTTGTCGTGTTTCTATTCTGGTCGACAGTATCGGTGGCCTATGTGCTGCTTATCACACTTTGCCATTGCTTGGACCACATGGATGACGTACCTTATTGGTGGTTAGTAAGCTATGAAGGAATGGGTTCCAGGGACCCTTATGTGGAATTATACGGCGACTGCTACAGGGGTCCGCTCCCCTACTACTCACCAGTAGAGTAGTGTTTCATTTGGGGATACTATGGCGCGCAATATCTCCTTTTGGGGTATAGTATGTTATATTAGGAATATAACCTTACTAGGTTTAAAAAGCTACTCAGTTAGGTACTTCAGAACATCCGGGAAATTACTGCAAAGCTCCCGCCTTTGTCGAAGCGTACTCTGCCGTATTATGTTGTGCGATTCTTGGAGCACACCTATGTGGGCATTCATTTGCACGCTGCACCCTGGCTTTAGGGTTTGCGGGACCCCCAACTACCCTTGACTATGACGCATGCAGAGTCCTGTTTGTGGTATTTGGGCTGTATAGAACGTGCTTGGGGGTCTAGGTAGGCTTTAGGATATTGCTAGAGTGTAGGGCTCAGCAGGGTTTACAGATTAGGATTTGGAGTTTTTACATGTTCTTGTCAGAAAATGGGCTCTACCTGGACCCAAAATTCTGTTAAACAAATGCCATTATGGCTGTTAGTATGGGTCTAGGGCTATATTTTACAGACTTTTGTGGTTTAGGTGCCTGACATTAGGGGTCAAACCCTAAACCCTAAACCCTTTGCACCTGAGGCGTGCGTGCTGTTGCTGGTCTGCGTCACTGTGATTTCCATGACGGGAGCCCTGCTCCTCACGCAGGTGGCCATATAGGGTTTAGGGTTTAGGGTTTAGGGTTTAGGGTAGGGGTTTCCCAAAATTAGGGTCACCGTTGAAAGCAGTACATAAGGGAATATTAGGATTCCTTATTATAAACCCCATTATCCCCATATAACCCTATAGA